TGAAAGAGTTGATAGACTTCAAAAAAGCAGTTCCGAAATTTTTTGATACTGTTAGGCTCGAAAACCTTACAGGGTTTTTGTTCGATTAAAAAGCAGTTCCGAAATTTTTTGGTATGGTTCCTTTTGAAAACATTGACATGTGCCCAAACAAACAGGACAAACCAGCTTACCTCAACCTGTTGTTTACCAACGCGGAAAAAGAAACACGGAGTAGCCACCGCGGAGAAATCCAGATCCCTGATGCCAAACAGATCCGTTTGATGAGTAGACCAAATAGAATAGCAAGAAAAGGAGCGAACGAACCGTAACAGTTTGGACATTCTGTAAACTCAGAGACGACTTTAGCTCGTTTTCAGTTGAGAGCTTTCCATTTTCCTGTACCACCACACATATCACCCAAAATGATAAGACAAAAAGAGGAAGCAAATGAAAACTTTATCCACCCATTTTAGCCAAAACCTATCAAGAATGTTTTCCCGTTCTTTAGGAGTCCAGATAGCTGATCAACCACCCTAATCATAAAAACCCAAAAACATAAGATAAAAAAGACCAAAAACTCCTAATCTATCATATGGTACATCTGAATGTTTCATCAAATCTTCATGGACTTTCAGACAGCAAAACACATCACAATTTCGTCGTTACAGCTTAGTCTTTGGAGGGAAACAGCTTCTGAAGAAACAAATGACAATAGTAGTAGTACAGTACAATTAAAGGTTGCTGAACATAGACTGACCAAAATGAATTATCTAACAACTAAAAGTCATTCAGGTTACTGTAAAAGGGATTTCAAGTCATTCCCCGGAAAGGGAATAAGTAAAAAAACGAAGAAATACCACTCACAAAGAACAGCGCCACTGCCAAGACAGTTTCGGCATACAGCTCCTCGTGTTTTGTCTAAAGCCATTGCCTTTGGTACAGACACAAAGGTGTAAGCATTGTTAATCAACGCTGCAGTGTCTTCTTGACGCCCGTGATTGAGCCTCCTGAAGCAAGACACCAAATCAGGTAACAGACTTGTAGAACACAAACAATGTACATTGCGAATGTAAATTTTCGGGCTTAACAGAACATACATTGTTGATGGATCTTTTGCTTGTAATAACAAATCAGACAAAATTCACTAAACTAAAATGCGGGTTAAGACCAAACAGAAGAATTCCATAAGCTCCAAACCAAAACGATTCTGTAACAAAGGATGGTCTGAAACTTCTCCATTGCACGAGGCTTTGAACAATGCCCGAAACATGAAAAAATCCGAGGTTTACTACTTTATCAAACCTACATACTATGAAGAAACTTCACAACGAGGAAATTTTATTATCGATGCCAGCCTAGCCTGTACCGGTCTCACTCGGAATTTTCAGGTAACAACATACATCACTAGCCAATAAAAACGAGATACCGGCCAAGATAGACTGAAATGCACAAGCTTTCGAAGATATAAATCACGAACTCAAGTGAGATGAAATGGAATGCTCATATTTTAGGAGTTTCAACCGAAACATTGTGTCAGGAATCTCAATCTTCACAACTAATACAGTAAATTTTCTTCCTTCCACAAAATTTTCAGAAAATTTCGTCTATGCTTTAAAGAACCAAATGACAATTTATTTTCTTCCACACAATTTTCAGAAAATTTCGATTATGCAACTACAGAAGATTGGAAACCTTTCATATCAACTATAAGAATATAGAGTTCAATCCTACTCTATGGTGTGTTTTTCTGTTCTCTAATTAAAATTTCCCACCAAAAATCAAAATGAAAACAAGATTTTCTGCGGAGAAAGTACAGAATCACGCAAGCAAAAATCTCAGGAGGGATAGAACCAACGAGAATATTGCAAGGAGATGCGAGGTTTTGTTCTCTTATCGAGAACAGGGAAAAAGGGGACCTGGGTGTGGTCGGGATTCTCCGACGACACATCGAAAATGTCCGAACTGGAATCCTCATTCTCCGGGCTCAAATAATTCAGGTAACCAAGTTTCGGGGTTAAAAATAACAAGAAACAACACAATACAATAAGAACGTTGGAGCAACAGAGAATGAAAATGTAGTCGTTTGTTATAGATTTCTCTTTGTTTGGATTTCGTGGAAAGAAAATCTTCATCCGATATCAAGAAAAGCACTTAGGAGTGGGAAGAGGGAAAGGGAGGCAGCCTCAGGACGGCTTCCTCCGTCTCCATCGGGTCTGATCTCAGTATCTACACACAAAAAGACAAACAAAGACCAAACTTGAAGTCAAATTTCTAAAACCCTATACCCAAAATTGGGGGTCTTAAAGCAAAATCCCTATCCCTAATTTCTGAAACCTGCAGCCTCGACCTTTCTCGGTCCATTCCCCTCTCCCACTCGCTCGAATACCCGTGGGACACAAGTAATCAATTTCCTGCCAAAACCCAAACTCAAACCCGAAAATCGGTTTTCGCCAGTGGACAAGCGCTCGAAATTTCAAGTCGGTGAAGTCTCGAGAATCCGAACCCGTGCCAACGCCAACTTCTTCCTCCATAAGTAGACAAAGGAGCCGGGCGATATGAATCCATGAAATATGCAAACCGACCACTTAATAGAACTTGGGAAAACCAACAGTTGAGGAACCATATCCTTTGGAAGATTGATGTGTATTCAGGTGATCTAGTTCTATGGAAATCATTAGGGTTTTGCAAACAACTGCGTTCCTTAAAAAACCGATGCAAGATTCCCATCCCAACAGAATAAAGAAGTAATTCTGGCTTTCTTTCTCCATGTTCATGATTGTTTAGGTAATGCCCATTGCTCTGTTCTTTTATTGGTAGAACATCAAACCTCTTTTCACTTCTCAGATAATCAAACCCACATTGAAAAGATAGACATTCGAAATCCAAATCAAAACTGCTGATCTTTGGAAAAGGACACAAGAGGGCAATGCACCAAAAAGAGGGAGAGGTACTTACTGGGTCCTGAAGAACGGGCTTGGTGTCATCAATGGCGGGTCTGAAAGGGGGTTTCTGAGATTTATCGGCTTTGCGTTGAATCTGAAGAAATTTCACGGCCTCTGATTTCGCCGGAGTCTCTGCAACTTTTTCCATCACTTCTCTTTCCACCGGAGATCCGTTCGCGAGGCAAATTAGGGTTCTTTATTCTGACTGGTGACGATACAACCTAAACCGACGTCGTCTTGAGCCCATTAGTCAAACAAAGTTTTTTCAATTGTGTTCCCGCCAAAATCGAGTCCTGGACCAAGCTAGGCTTCAGATCTTCAAAATCTCTTTTCAATCACGACCCTTACATCATTTCTCTCTTAGTATCATCATCCTCATTAACCCGTATTCCGATCAATCTCGCGAGATCGATCCATGCGCATTTTCACGCATCGAGTTAACCATGGGATGATGTCTTCAAAAAACAAGTCGATGCTGGTAGTCGAGGTCGATTCTTGGGTGAATTTCGGCCGATTTTGCAACTGGGCTTACATCGGTCGGATGCTCAGGAAATTAGGGTCGATGGCTATGTAGTTTGCGCGAAATTACGTGGTCTTTGTCACCCGAATTTTGGCTACCAGCTAAAATGAAGTGGAACTGGAAAAAATAAACGTGTTTGTGCAATGCAAATGTTCGGGTTGTTTTTCGAGAAGCGTTAATTTAAGGACCTTACTTGACCTTATCCGATCAGATAGATATCAAGGGGAACTGACGAAACGCGATGATCCATCTCCTGTCGTCTCGAATTTTGTGTGGAACCTTGGGAACAACACGGGTCAGCATTCGCTTCCGACTCATGTCCGGGATTGAGTTAACATCCATAGAACAACGATTTGGTTCTTTAGTGTTTTTTCAATTCAGTGTAAAATAGTTTTTTAGATTTAAAATAATAATTGAGTTAAAAAATAAATGAGAAATATTAGTTGACTATTGGTAAGAATATAGTGAGAGATATGTTGGGTTTTTTTTTATCACGTTTCTTTTCTCCTTTTACCATATGGATAGTAATAATAATCGTCATTTTATTTGTGGTTTTTTACATAAATTTTAACAAGTGGTAAAGTCTAGGTCTTTTTTTTTTTTTTAACTCTTAATAAAGATTCGAAGGAACGAGGTGGGGACAAAAACAATGGCCGACGACCCTACTTTCCTCCAGAGACTTGTTCGCTAAGGTGTGTGATAAAAAAGCTTTGTCCTCCAAATACTTGTTTGCTAAGCTGTGTGTTCAAATGGTTCATATATATATATTTAAACTCTGTGCTCAATTGACGGAGTTGCGACTCTCTCTCTCTCAGTCACTTCATCGAACGCTTTGTCGGCATCGATACCAATTGGGTAAGTGTTTATTCAAATAAATTTCCTTTCTTGATGCAAGATTCAGATCGATTTCGGCTATTATAACACCGTTTTAGTCATGCTTTGTATGCTTTTTTTATATAGATTTTACTGGTTGTTGATTGCTTTATCCGTAGTTCTCTATCTGAAATGTTATTGTTGATCGGATTGCTGTCGGGGTTTGGCTGTTTTAATTTGATTAGTGGCGCTTTTTCCTATCATTTATTGTTTTGGCTCCGGGTTACATTATTTGAATATTAGTTTCGAATATACGATTTTTTGAGTGAAAGTTTGCATCTTGGGGAACTTTCTCCTCTGGCTGCAATCAGCTTTTCGATTGAGACAGAGATTTCAGTGTTGCTTGGATGCATTAATATCCAATCTTTTGAGTCTGCATTCCTTCTGCATGACTTTTTGAAATGCTGTTTGACTATAGGACTTGGTCACGTTCGATTGCTTGTTGGGGTAGAACCTGTAAAAACTTTTCAACAAAATTAAGACCCAATTTAGACAGAGAGCTAATGATGAAACGAACAAGAAAGAGTTATGTTGCCTGAGAACCACAGTTGGAGCAGATCCGGGTGAGTTCTTCCGTATGGCCGCCATTTTGGTGCGGACGACATTGTCGATGTCTTTGCATATCGCAGTGGAGCCTTTGAATCTCGAGTTTCGTTCTGTCCATATTATATAGATGGGAAGCTGCCACGAAATGCATGCCTTAGAGTGTCGTTCCAAGTCATACGAGTAGGCAAAGTCCCCCCCCCCCCCACCCCCGCCCCCCCCCCCATCCCCATTGAGTAGAGAAATAGTTCTTTGGGGAAACTTTTAATATGAGATATGGTCTCGTGATATCATGGATGGTAAAGGTTCTTAATCATGCCATTTGAATGTCCGTCTCTTATGAGACACTTTCGGAGATTCAATCGGATTGAAAACATTATTATTCTTGAAACGGCGTCTAGACTAATCTTGGGGTCTGGGCTTATAATTTTATCTTTGGTCTACGGTTGTAATTATTACAAATTTTCAAGTTTGGAAATCGGTTTTATCTTAATTACGGTTCAAATCCTTGGATTTTCTTCCTTCCATAACTTTCGTTGAAAATTGAATTCCGTTGATTGCCATATTAAAGAATGTGACTAAAGCAAAGGATATGCGTCTACGATGATGGTTATAAATTGATTGTTTTATTACCCCTTTTTTTCCGTCATCTGTGTACTTGTCACCCCTGTTATTGCAAGAATCTCCGGTAAGTGATTCTAGGTGTTCTCTCTTATTCATTTACTAGATCAATGCATAGAGCGTGCAGCTTGCGCTAATGACATGTTATCTCAGAGTCTCTTTTCCCAATCTCTTATACCATCACATTGCCAAAGCTACGATCATTTTCACTTCTTTTTTGCTAGTCATATAGTTTGGTTCATGGTTTAATTTTGATTATTTTGTGTGATGTGTTTTTTTTATCTCATCAATTAATTAGTATTTATTAAATATTTTTAAAAAAATTATTTTTTATTTTATTTTACAAACTAATTTAAACTAGATAATAAAAAGGATGATGATGATATTGTTAATTAAATTAAATCGGAGGATGGATTGAATTGGGTTTCGCTTTTCGGTTATTAATTCCCCATTCGATTACAAAATGGCGGAGAAGGGTCTTTTACTCTTTTGTTGGTATTCTTCGTACTTATTCCAGTCTCTGAAGTGAAGGATGCTTGCTTTCCTTTTTCCAGGGAAATGGGTTCAGAAGGAAGTACGAAGGCCTCCATCGTGACGCAAGTCAGCGTCGGTGGGTTTGGCGAGTCCGTCACCGCGAGGGATCTGACGGAATTCCTCGAAGAGGAGATCGGCCTTCTTTGGCGGTGCAGATTGAAGACCTCTTGGACTCCCCCTGGATCCTACCCTAATTTCGATATAGTCGACACCTCGCGGATCGCCAAGATCGATGATTACAAGAAAGTTGCGCCTCACGCATTTGTTCATTTCGCAATCCCTGAATCGGCGGCGTATGCAATGAACGCTGCCGGGCGATGCAAGCTAATCTTGAATGGACGGCCGTTGAAGGTCAGCTTGGGGCCTGAAAATCCGTACAGCATTAACCAGAGAAGACGGACCACCACGCCGTTTAAATTGGCTGGTTGCCGTGTCGAGATCGGGACCTTGGTTACTCGGGATGAGTTTCTTGTTGCCTGGAAAGCTTCGGGCGTCAACTTCTTGGTCGATCCTTTCGACAACATGTGCAGATTTTGTTTCACCAAAGACACCGCCTTCTCGTTCAAAGACACAGGGATGCACGCAGTGATAAAGTGCGACTTCAAGATGGAGATTTCGGTGAGAGAAATAAACGTGGTGAGGCAGTACAAACATTTCGATGGCTATGTTGTTCTCTTGCAGCTGGCTTCGTGTCCTCGGGTGTGGTACAGAACTGCTGATGATGACATTTACGAGACTGTTCCTGTTGATCTCTTAGATGATGACGACCCTTGGATTCGCACCACGGATTTCACCCCAAACGGGGCGATTGGTCGGTGCCTATCATATCGAGTACTCATCTCTCCTCGTCATGAAGAGAAATTGAAGAATGTCTTGGGTTATCTAAGGATGCGGAGGGTGCAAGAAGAGCGTGTGAGGTTGCCGCCTAGGATTCGCAGAGAACCAGATTTTATGGTTCCTGAGCATTTCTTCTGCATTCAGGACAAAGAAGGGATCTCCTTTGACATTATATTTCTAGTGAATGCTGTGATGCACAGAGGGACTGTTAACCAATTTCAGTTGACGAAGCATTTCTTTGATCTTCTGAGACAACAGCCCAAAGAAGTCAATGTGGCTGCTCTCAAGCATCTTTGTACCTATAAACGACCAGTTTTTGATGCCTGCAGGAGGTTCAAACTTGTTCAGGAATGGGTTGTGAAGAACCCGAAGCTTTTAGAGAGTCATAAGAAGTCCGATGACATCGTCGAGATCAGAAGGCTAGCGATTACCCCGACCAGAGCTTATTGTCTACCCCCTGAAGTCGAGCTCTCCAACAGGGTGCTCAGGAAATACACAGCTATATGTGATCGGTTTTTACGAGTCACATTTATGGACGAAGGCATGCAGACCATGAACTCCAGTCTTCTTTCGTATTATGTTGCTCCCATTGTGAAGGATCTGATATCATATTCCGCCTCTCAGAAGACCCATGTGTTTAAAAGGGTAAAAACCATTTTAACTAAGGGGTTTTACCTGTGTGGCAGGAAGTATAGTTTCCTGGCCTTCTCGTCCAATCAATTAAGGGACCGTTCTGCATGGTTTTTTTCCGAAGACGGGAAAACGAGTGTGCTAGACATAAAGAAATGGATGGGGAAGTTCACCAACAAGAACGTCGCAAAATGTGCTGCTAGGATGGGGCAGTGCTTCTCCTCTACATATGCTACCGTAGATGTTATGCCTCACGAGGTTGATGACGAGCTTCCAGACATCACAAGAAATAATTTTGTGTTCTCTGATGGGATTGGTATGATCACACCTGACCTCGCAGATGAAGTAATAGATAAACTGAGACTGGATGCAAATTGCCCCCCATGTGCTTTTCAGATCCGTTATGCAGGTTGCAAAGGAGTAGTTGCCCGTTGGCCATCAAAGGGTGATGGCATAAGGTTGTCACTCCGGCCCAGTATGAACAAATTTCACTCCAAACACACCACCTTGGAGATTTGTTCTTGGACTAAGTTTCAACCTGGTTTCCTAAACCGGCAGATAATTATTCTCCTCTCAACACTTGGTGTTTCTGATAACATATTCTGGGATATGCAAGAAGTCATGATCTCTAAGCTAAACCAGATGCTTGAAGATACGGATGTGGCATTTGAAGTTCTAACAGCGTCATGTGCTGAGCACGGAAACACGGCAGCAATCATGCTAAGCGCGGGTTTCAAACCGAAAACAGAGCCCCATTTGCGAGGAATGTTATCTTCAGTTAGAGCTGCACAGCTTTGGGGTCTGAGGGAAAAAACTCGGATCTTTGTTCCTTCTGGGAGGTGGTTAATGGGTTGCCTAGACGAAGCAGGGGTACTTGAACAAGGCCAATGCTTTATCCAAGTTTCAACACCATCCATAGAAAACTGCTTCTCCAAACATGGGTCTCGATTCAGTGAGACAAAAAAAAATCTGCACATAGTCACAGGGTATGTAGCCATGGCTAAGAATCCTTGCCTTCACCCAGGAGATGTAAGGATTCTAGAAGCTGTTGATGTTCCAGAGTTGCATCACTTGTATGATTGCCTTGTTTTCCCTCAGAAAGGTGAAAGGCCACACACAAACGAGGCTTCCGGAAGTGACCTTGATGGAGACCTCTACTTTGTAACGTGGGATCTGAATCTCATCCCTCCAAGCAAAAAAAGCTGGAGCCCAATGCTGTACGATGCAACAGAAGAGAAGACTTTGACACGCGGTGTCAGCCACCAGGTTAATCTCTGCTCTCCCATTTTTTTTTGTCTGGCTTTTGATACTTTTGAAGTTAAACATTGAATTTTGTGCATCTACTTGTAAATAGTTACGGTTAAGGAAAATTTGATTATGGATTGCTCATTTGGATATAATTTTCTGATATATCCCTGCATTAATTGCATTGTGAATTCTTGTTTTGACTTCTTGATGCTAGCTCTGGATGTGTGCGGCATGAATCTCTCAATTAGGAATATTTGCTAGATTGATAACGGTTAGGAATTTCTGGTGGTATATTGATTGTTTGTTCTATCATAACTCACTGATGTTTCTCATTATGATAGTTCAGCTTATTTCTTAAAGATCCATGATGTGTGAGGTATTAGAAAGATATTGTGTTATGAAGCTTGTGTCGGAACTCCATTTACTGAGAAAGTCTTGTATATGCTTTCCTAGGCTCTGAAAAGAAAAATAAAGGTTGTAATATATTTGTGTTACAATCTTGTATTTACTTTTTTTGGGTGTTGTTATCATTTCCGTGTATTCTTTTGACAGTTTCGACTATTTCAACTATTCACTTTGATTTTGATGTCTTTACTTTGATATTGCCATTACGTCTGGGGTTAGTGAGGAATTGCCTTCTCTCGTCTTGTTACAGGATATTATAGATTTCTTTGTTAGAAACATGGTGAATGATCATCTGGGTACGATCTGCAATGCACACGTTGTCCATGCTGATAGAAGTGAATATGGAGCCCTGGACGAAGACTGTATCTTACTAGCAGAACTAGCAGCTACAGCAGTTGATTTCCCGAAGACTGGGAAAATCGTTACGATGCCTCACCACCTGAAACCAAAACTCTACCCAGACTTCATGGGAAAAGAAGAATACCAATCTTACAAATCGACAAAAATCTTGGGCCGGCTTTACAGGAAAATAAAAGACGTTTATGATGAAGATGCCACTGTTTCATCGGAAATCAACTCAGGCCCAAGGGACATTCCTTACGACACTGACCTTGAAATCTCAGGTTTTGCAGATTTTGTCCCTGAGGCATGGAATCATAAATGTTCTTATGATGGGCAGCTCATGGGCCTTCTCGGGCAATACAAGGTGCAGAAAGAGGAGGAGATTGTGACGGGTCACATCTGGTCAATGCCTAAATACACAAGCAGGAAACAAGGCGAGCTGAAGGAGAGATTGAAGCATTCTTACACTGCGTTGAAGAAAGAATTCAAAAAACTCTTTGATAAAACAGACCCGGAACACGAAAATCTCAGCGATGAGGAGAAAAACCTTATGTACGAGAAAAAGGCTTCAGCTTGGTACCATGTCACATACCACCCAGAGTGGGTGAATAAGTCTTTAAAGCTACAGCAAGATCCAGATGCGTCTGGTAACACAGTGATGCTCAGCTTTGCTTGGATAGCTGCTGATTACCTTGCCAGGATCAAGATCCGATCCCAAGGTAAAGAAACTTTTGATGTGGGCAAGCCTGTTAATTCCTTGGCTAAGTATCTTGCTGAGCGCATCTAATAGGTATATGTCACCAGTCCCGAAAATGTCGTTAAGCCGCATGGCCACTCTGCCAGAGAAACTTCAGTACTTGCTCTATGGTTGGTTTGTTTTGTGGTATGTGACTTGCCTATGCTTTTTTGTTTCTGGTTTTGTGACTCGTGAATGAAGTGAAGTCCTGCATTACAAGACGCTTTGCCTATTCTGATTCCGTCTCTTTCCAATGGAGTTTAGTTGATTAATCGCTTGCTGTTTACAATTGAAACAGTTCAACTACTTGTCGTTTGTGGTGACACTAGTGTAGGAAGTTTATTTGCAACTACTTGTTGGTTTATGTTCTGGGAAGAGAAGTGCTCGGCGTTTCTTTTTGATTCAGGACGTCTTGTTGTGAAGGATAGAGATACAATTACGTTCTTATTTCTATTTCTGAAAAGTCAAACATAAGGGTGTGAGTGGTGGTAATGCAATCGTCCGCAATCGCAGCGATTACGATTTCTGGTGATTACGGGTGATTGAAAAAGTGAATGTTAGAATCGTAATCGCCCGCAATCGCAATAAAACATCAATATTCTAATCGCATCTAAAAAATTACGTTACGATAGCGTTTTGCAACGTTTTGGTTAAATGATCAAAATACTCCTAATATTAAATAATATATATATACATACTTATCATATTATACATATAAAGAACTTAGTATGTGTATATATACATGAAATATATATATATATAAACAAACAATTATATATATATACATACATCTATATATACATACACATACATACATATATACACACATACATATATATATACACATATATACATATATATATATATATAAACATATACATACATATATATACATATATACACACATACATACATATATATACACACATATAAATACATACATATATACATATACACACACATATACACACATACATACATATATACATACATATATATATACACAAACAATCATATATACATACATACATCTATATAAACGTACACATACATACATATATATACATACATATACCCACACATACATATATACACACGTGCATATATAATATATACATATACACATGCATATATACATACACATACATATATATATACATATATACACACATACATATACATACATATGTATACATAATGCATATATACATATATAAATTAAAAAATATATTAATAATTTTATTTGGTATATATTATGTGTGATATTGTTTGGTTTTACCAATAAATATTTTTAAAATATTTTTAATATTAAATTTATTTTTGAAAATAAATTAAATTGATAATAAAATTATATTTAAAATTTATAATTAATTATTTATAAATTTAATAATTATTTGATATTAAATAATAGTAAAAAACTAATTTAAAATATTTTAAAAATAATTATTATTGTATATAATAAAATGATGTTTTTTTTAATTTAAACCAAATCACAATCGCTATCATTGTTAACCAGTCGTTCTAAATCGTAATCACTCGCAACCGCTATCAACAACAGTTTTTCTACCAGTCAGTACCAATCGCCTAGAATCGCCAACAAACGCATCATAAAAGCCCGCAATCGCAATCGCGGCGATTGCGATTCCACCTGTCAACACCTAAATTAGTAATGTCTCGTCAAAATACAAATATCTCTATCTAATTTAAAGTACTTTTCTTTATTTTTGGTTTTTTTTATGAAACGCTGTCAAAACGCTAATATAGTATTACAATTAGAAAACCCGTATTTTGTTGCGTTGCGATTGATTGCGTCCACCAATTGGTTTTCCAATCATCTACAACCGCTCCGTTTATTGATCGTAATGGCACAACCATTTGCTCCCTAAATATGATAGTTCTTTCTAATAGGAAAATGTTTTTCTGTATTGATAATTACAAGAATACATCCTAATATATAGCAAAATACAATAGAATATTCTAGGTATAATATTTCACTACAAAAAAATATGTCAATTTCAACGGATAAATCCGTTGAAAATGACCTATAATCCGTTGAAATTATACAATTTCAACGGATTTTCAACGGATAAATTCCATTGCAATATCCTCGTTGAAAAAATTATTCCGTTGAAAGCCGTTGAAAATATCAACGGAATTTTCAACCGAAATCCGTTGATATTTTTCAACGGAGTTTTCAACCGAAATTCGTTGATAATTTCAACGGATTTTGCAATCGAAATCCGTTGAAAATTTAACGAACATTTTAAAACGTATTCTCAATCCCGACCTCGTACTGCCTCGACTCCGACCTTGTGACACCCGTAACCCGTGTACAAGGCCTCGTATGGAGATACTCCGATACTCGTGTGGTGACTGTTGTTGTACGCAAACTCGCACAACGTCATGTACTGGTCCCACGGAGCTCCCCACTCCAGGATACAAGCTCTGAGCATGTCCAACAAAGTTTGTATAGTCCGCTCCGACTGACCGTCTGTCTGAGGATGATATGCCGTACTCATCTTGAGCTTCGTCCTCAGCGCCTCCTGAATCGCCTTCCACAAACGGGATGTAAATCGGGTGTCTCTATCCGATATAATCTCGTCCGGAACTCCATGAAGACGTACGATCTCATCAATGTAAATCTGCGCCAACCGCCCGATCGGATACTCCTGACGGATAGGAATGAAATGGGCGGA